CCCCAGAGAGTCTACACCCTTGGGTCTGCTATTCCCAAGGCAGGAAATAGTTTAAGAAAAAGAAAAAAAAATATTTTTATATAACGTAGGACCTCGGCTTGCAAGCAGCTCCCTCCTCTTAAACACCCATCCAACCAGCCACCTCTGCCGATTCTCTGGTTTCCACCAGCAGAAGCCCACCCATCACAGCAGAGCTAACTGGGTTGGGCAAATGTTGGGCTGAGAACAGGAAGGCAAGGGACTTCACCTGTTGTGGTGCTGGCCAAGGATGAGGAATCGGCTGGGCTCAGGCCACAGCTTCCCCCATCCTTGCGCTCAGCTCGGGGCTTTGCTACTGCAGCCCGCAAAGGATGTGAGAGGGCGTCGAGCCCTTGGCACCCAGTTTCCTCACCACCCTCCCGCAAAGCAACATCTATTCTGGCAAACGTCCCGACGGCTTACTTGTCCTGCAAAAGTTCATTTTTTAAAAAACCAGGCACTTGTGGCGAGTCGCTGTGTGAGGACGCGCCTCGTGGAATTGTTCCAGAAATATGCTAGGAACTGGGGCGTTGTATGTAATGATAGCCCTTACTCAGAGTAGACCTACTGAAGCGAATGTTTGTGACCAACTTAGGCACATTTCGTTTCAGTCGGTCTGACTCTGGAGTGGATGCGAAGAGGATCACCAGCCTCGTACGCAGATGAGCAGGGCCTGAAAGTCAGGATTTGATAGCCTCAAATTCTGCTTCGATCATGTAATTCTCTCACTGGCTTGCACTTCACTCCTAAATGGCAAATTTTAAAATGCATACACCTCTGTCGTGTCTATATAGACGCACACCTACACAGTCTTGCGTTTGACCGAAACAACAGTCCCAACAGCCTCATAGGCCAAAATGTTGGGGCCTAGGAGGCCTCAAGTTTTCTTGCCACTGTCGGATTAAGGAAAAGCCAGTAAATTTAAGATTTCTCTGTGGGTGGGTTCCTCCCTTACTCTGCTGTGTGACTTTGGGCCACTCCCTACTCAGTTTTTGAAGTTTTCCTGGCATATCCCCCAAATTTTATTCCCTCCCCCCATCTTAGAGGCACAGGCAGGGGGCTCTTTTTTGCAGCGGCAACATTTTAGCTCTGCCTCTCACCCGTCCCCCTTCTTGCCTAAAACCCGACTTCGATACCAAAGAGAAAAGTTCATTAGGAACCGGGGGGGGGGGCGGATTGCCATGGACTACCTTATTTTTATTGTGTGTGGTTTTTTTGGGGGGGTGCAGGGTGAGAGGGGCTTTATAAGCAGGGCAGCCGTGCCGTGCAAGGACCGAGGGACATTCCATATAATTTATTACATATTTCTATACTTGGCAGAATTGTATCATTTTATGGGTATAAAGAGAAATTGCATTTTCTTAAAAAAGACCAAAAAAAGCTATCGTCGTGTCTTTTTGTGTTTGTTGCTTAAATGACAGGAAGTCCGGAAAAGGGGGCGAAAGGCACATCCGCCCTAAATCCCATGCGGTCACTCCTTCAACTGGCTGTTGGCATAAACTGGTGGGGGGTTAAGTCATTTGGCAGTCATTGGTTTTTGCTTAATGCTGCCAAGGGCACATTTCAGCCAGAAACCCAGAAGGAGAGTGAGATACTGGGTGGTGGAGGCCTCAGGAGAGTCCTGAGGGCCAGGTGAAGAGCTTTGGGGGGCCGGAGGTTCTCCAGGCCTGCTCTGGGTGCCATGCGATGTGTTTGGCCCTGGCACCATATTTTGTGGGTGCCAGGCACCTTCGTGGGGAATTTTGTGGGTGCTTGGGGCACCCAGGGAGCTGGCACCTATGTCCCAAGCAGACCCACACACTGATGGCAACCAGCGAATCTGGACGTTGCGGTTTCAAGATTTCAACTGTGGGTAGGCTTCTTTGCCGGCTCTCTCGCCCACCCTCCCATCTCATAGAATCATAGAGTTGGAATAGACCACAAGGGCCATCGAGTCCAACCCCCTGCCAAGCAGGAAACACCATCAGAGCACTCCTGACATATGGTTGTCAAGCCTCTGCTTAAAGACCTCCAAAGGAGGAGACTCCACCACACTCCTTGGCAGCAAATTCCACTGTCGAACAGCTCTTACTGTCAGGAAGTTCTTCCTAATGTTTAGGTGGAATCTTCTTTCTTGTAGTTTGGATCCATTGCTCCGTGTCCGCTTCTCTGGAGCAGCAGAAAACAACCTTTCTCCCTCCTCTATATGACATCCTTTTATATATTTGAACATGGCTATCATATCACCCCTTAACCTCCTCTTCTCCAGGCTAAACATGCCCAGCTCCCTTAGCCGTTCCTCATAAGGCATCGTTTCCAGGCCTTTGACCATTTGGGTTGCCCTCCTCTGGACACGTTCCAGTTTGTCAGTGTCCTTCTTGAACTGTGGTGCCCAGAACTGGACACAGTACTCCAGGTGAGGTCTGACCAGAGCAGAATGCAGTGGCACTATTACTTCCCTTGATCTAGATGCTATACTCCTATTGATGCAGCCCAGAATTGCATCGGCTTTTTTAGCTGCCGCGTCACACTGTTGGCTCATGTCAAGTTTGTGGTCAACCAAGACTCCTAGATCCTTTTCACATGTACTGCTCTCAAGCCAGGTGTCCAAAGGTGGCAGCAAAGTAGGTTGGAGATTTATTACCGCACTGTTCCTGCATGTTGGGCTACTTGAGAGGAGGAGGAAGAAGCGCAAGGGAAACCCCCGCCAGGATCAAGGCCAAGAAAAGGAGTGATGTTTATATCCCCATCTTTCCTCCAAGGAGCTCAAGCAGGTGTACAGTGGTACCTCAGGTTACATACGCTTCAGGTTACAGACTCCACTAACCCAGAAATAGTACCTTGGGTTAAGAACTTTGCCTCAGGATGAGAACAGAAATCGCGCAGCGGCAGCAGGAGGCCCCATTAGCTAAAGTGGTACCTCAGGTTAAGAACAGTTTCAGGTTAAGAACGGACCTCCGGAACGAATTAAGTACTTAACCCGAGGTACCACTCTACTTAGTTCTCCCTCTCCATTTTACCTGCCCTGCCCAATATTTTATCCAAGTTGGCACCCCTGCTTGCTTCTGGGAATTGTAGCTCTGTGAGGGGGAATAGGGGTCTCCTAACAACTCTCAGCGCGGGTGGCGCTGTGGGTAAAAGCCTCAGCGCCTAGGGCTTGCCGATCGAAAGGTCGGCGGTTCGAATCCCCGCGGCGGGGTGCGCTCCCGTTGCTCGGTCCCAGCTCCTGCCAACCTAGCAGTTCGAAAGCACTCCCGGGTGCAAGTAGATAAATAGGGACCGCTTACTAGCGGGAAGGTAAGCGGCGTTTCCGTGTGCGGCTCCGGCTCGCCAGAGCAGCGATGTCACGCTGGCCACGTGACCCGGAAGTGTCTCCGGACAGCGCTGGCCCCCGGCCTATAGAGTGAGATGGGTGCACAACCCTAGAGTCTGTCAAGACTGGCCCGTACGGGCAAGGGTACCTTTACCTTTAACAACTCTCAGCACCCTTAATAAACTACAATTCCCAGAATTCTCTGGGGAGGGGGAGCCACGACTGTTTCCACAGCATCACCTCTTGCACTTCCACTCCCAGCCAATAAACCTGTGTGGAGGTACACTGCCACTGCCCAAGGAGGCTTCACATAGGGCAAGCCTGCGCCTTTGGAAAGCAGGCAGCTCGGTTTTATTATATGCAGCTTCCCTCTTCTAGGTGGGTCGAGTTCAGCAGGAAGCTCTTAAAATCTCAGGGTTTGAGCGCCCTATATTGAGTGAAAGATTCTCTGCCTGGCAGGGGTTTGGACTAGGCCATGGGTAGGCAAACTAAGGCCCGGGGGCCGGATCTGGCCCAATGGCCTTCTAAATATGGCCCACGGATGGTCTGGATATTGGCATGTTTTTACAAGAGTGGAATATGTCCTTTTATTTAAAATGCATCTCTGGGTTATTTGTGGGGCCTGCCTGGTGTTTTTACGCGAGTCGAATGTGTGCTTTTATTTAAAATGCATCTCTGAGTTATTTGTAAAGGTAAAGGGACCCCTGTTCATTAGGTCCAGTCGTGGCCGACTCTGGAGTTGCAACGCTCATCTCGCTTTATTGGCCGAAGGAGCCGGCGTACAGCTTCCAGGTCATGTGGCCAGCATGACTAAGCTGCTTCTGGCGAACCAGAGCAGCGCACGGAAACGTCATTTACCTTCCCACCGGAGCGGTACCTATTTATCTACTTGCACTTCGACATGCTTTCGAACTGCTAGGTTGGCAGGAGCAGGGACCGAGCAACGGGAGCTCACTTCGTCGTGGGGATTCGAACCACCGACCTTCTGATCGATAAGTCCTAGGCTCTGTGGTTTAACCCATAGCGCCTCCCGCGTCCCTATGGGTTATTTGTGGGGCATAGGAATTCGTTCATTTATTTTTTTCAAAATAGAGTCCGGCCCCCCACAAGGTCTGAGGGACAGTGGACCGGCCCCCTGCTGAAAAAGTTTGCTGACCCCTGGACTCGACGGCCCTTCTTTCAAACTCTGCAATTCTATGGTTCTGGGCGGCAGGGCCTTTCCCAGATTTCCTCCATGAGATCTAGCACCTCTCCTTTCAAATATAGTCCGGCCCCCCACAAGGTCTGAGGGACAGTGGGCCGGCCCCCTGCTGAAAAAGTTTGCTGACCCCTGGACTCGACGGCCCTTCTTTCAAACTCTGCAATTCTGTTGTTCTGGGCGGCAAGAAATCTTTCCCAGATTTCCTCCATGAGATCTAGCGCCTCTCCTTTCAAATTTAAAAACAGAAGTTAAAATTAAAATGCTGAGCCAAGGGTTTTGGGGCGGCCTCTCTTGCGGAGGGTTCTTCCCCACCCCATCGCTGTCACTCTGCCCCCTAGCCCTGCTTCCCCTTTCAGCTCCACCCCATTGCACAACCCACCTCCCCGCCCCGGCTTGCACAACCAACCAGAGCAACCCTGCCAGGCAGGCAGCAGCAGCAGCAGCATCCTCCCCTCGGGACAGTTCCTCAAACGCTTCGCTGCTCGAGCGAGGATGGTGCCAAGGCGAAGGTGGCACGGCAGCCCGGGGGGTCTGGCTGGAAGAAGCCGGGGTGGCAGCAGCAGCAGCAGCAGCAGCTGGCACCTGCCTGGCACCATGTGGCTGCTCGGGGTCTCTTGGGTGGCGCAGCTGGTCGCGGCTGCAAGCGGCTTGGTGGACCAGGAGCAGCTGTGCCCGAAGCCGGGTGAGAAAAAGAGACTTGTTTCGCCCATTGCATGGCTGGGTTGGCACGGCTTAAATATTTGCGCGATCCTGTGGAAACGAGCCAGTCCCCCAGTCCTTTGCCCTGCAAAAATGCGCTTTTTTTCAACGATTGCGCCCTGCGATCTGTCCCCGTTTGAGCCTCACAACAGCCCTGTGTGGTAGGTTAGGCTGAGATAGAATAGGAAAAAATAAAGGGAAATCTCCTTTAAAAATAAATCGCGGAGGCGTGTTTCGAACGAGAGGTGCCTGCCCTGTAAGGATGAATTTTTAAAGCTTTTTTCTGTGCTTTCCTTCGTTTGATCCTATCAACAACCCTGTGAGGGAGGATAGGCTGAGAGAATGAAAAATTAGTGGGGGGTCTCCCTTTTTTATCCTGGGGGCACGTTTCAAACAATTCCTCCTGTAAGGAGGAAATGTATTAAATTTATTTATTAGATTTATTTCTCCTTTCATTTAATCCTCACAACAAGCTTGTAGGTAGGTTAGGCTGAGAGAATGAAAAATTAGGGGGGGATCTCCCCCTTTTTTTTTACCTGGGGGGCATGTTTTGAACAAGAGGTGCCTGCCTTATAAGGAGGAAATGTATTAAATTTATTTATTAGATTTATTCCTCCTTTCATTTAATCCTCACAACAACCCTGTGAGGGAGGATAGGCTGAGAGAAAATGGCATGTTAGGGAAACGCGAACTGGGGGTATGTTTCTTCTTAAGAGCAAGAGATTGTCTGCCCTGTCAAGATGAGCTTAATTAAATTTATTATGATCGATCTCTCTGTTGCTTCTCCCATCGTTTGACCCTCACAGCAAGGAAGTACGCAGGCTGAGCTGACAGAATGAAATTTTTAAGAAAGTGCCTCAGGACATTTTTACCCTGGGGTCAAGTTTCGTCTTAAGAACAGCCAGTTAAAAAGAGCCAAAAATCCAGAAATATTCAACAAGTTGTTAAAATCAACAATAAGCTAAAAACCAGATTCGAACTCGTGCATCAGTGTTCCGCGTTTCTAGACAGGCTTGACTAAAACAAAAATGTTCATACCAGTTGCAGAAAAGAGTAAAACAAAGAGGTAACATCAATAGGCAGGGAGTTCCAACGTTCAGACGCTGCCATGCTCAAATATTGATTTCTTACATATGAGTTGAGTTGCAGCCTGGGTATATATGGAAGGTGCCCCCAGGTTCCCCCCCCCATCGCTGCTCTAACCACTGTACCACGCTCCTTCAAAGGGCTTTCTGTCGGTGGGGATTTATTGGGATAATAAGGCAGTGAATGGAAAGGTGAAGCCTCCGCAATTTCAGTTTGGCACATTTAATCTGGCAAATTGCGCGCGCCCAAATTGTGTGTGCGCCCACCCCTCAAAAGTTTGGAGAAACTGAATTGTTGGTTCTCTATTTTCTTTTTCTTCCCATAACTTGTCGTTGCGCCTTGTGGAAGGGGCTGGCGTTTAGGGGTCTGGATGGAGGAGACGGCACAGATGTGGCGCCTAGTGGTTAGTGCTTGAGAGCGGCAGGAAGTGGCAGAGGGAGAGTGGAAGGCAGTGGGTCAGGAATCCTGGCTCCCAGTTGTGGGAATGGAGTCCGGGGCTCACCTTTGGGAAGACCACACACCTCTGAGTTTTCGGTCTGTGAGAATAGGCTGGAGGGAAGAAGTGGTTTGAGATTCTTGAATGATCGCGCCGCCGGCTCCGAATGGTGGTTGCAGCAGGATAGAGGAAGATAAGGGCTATCTTATCTGTGGTTGCGGGCGCACCAAATATCTAAACCACATAGCATCCCCTGCAGAACCCCGGGAACCGTAGATTGCCTCTGACAATCCTACAATTCCCAGCGCCTTAAAACTACAGTTCTCCAGATTCTTTTCTTGGGGGAGATGTGCCTTGCCTGCCTTATCTATAGAACAATGAAACTACATTAAGGACAGGCGGAAGCTGGTGGATCTCAGGACAATTTGCTGCAGAACCAGCAACGGGTTTTCTGACTCCTAAGCCGTTCAGACAGCTGAACAACTTTCTCCAGCACTAATTACATTTGCCAGTTTAACTGACTCATCCGTATTCCAGTCGTCAATGGAAAGTGACCTTCTCTGCTTCCAGAGATGACATGTGTTCAGACCTGCTGCTCTTGAGAATTATTTATTATTATTTATTCTCGTTATTATATTGATATGAACCATTTTTTTAAAAAATGATCAAATCATAGGTCCATCTCTCTCTGTCTACATTGATTGGTAGCGGATCTCTAGGGTTTTAGAGGTCTTTCCCTAGTCCTACCTGGAAGTGTCAGGATTCGAACCTAATACCTCCTGCATGCAAACCAGATCTTTTAAGTTCTGAAGAAAGAAAACCAACAGCAGGAAGAAGGCAGGAGGCTCGATTTAGAAACCTTAAAAAAAAAAATCTTTCTGTGTGGCTCCTCTTCCTCCTATGTCGATAACGAAACCGCAGCTGTGTTGTCTTTCTGTAGCTAATATGCCATTCGGTATGCCAGGATCAAGCCCCAAATCATACTGTGGAAACTGTGCTGTTGCTGCTTCTGCTTCTGTTATATTTATTTACATCCTTCCTTATATTCCTATATATATATCCTTATATTTACTCAAGGCCGCTTACACAAATTAAAAACAACACGGATAAAAACATGTAGAAGATGTTCGTCTAAAAAAGAATTAAGCCATAACAGAATTAAAACAAAATAAAACAAAATCTATTAAAATAAGAAGAGGTGTCCAAACAGTTCAGCACAACTTTAAAACCTTTTTCTTTTTTTAAAAAAAGGCCTTTGCTTTAAAAGAAGACCAACATTGTTAATAGCAGGGGATGATGGGAGTCGTAGTTTAGGCACATGTGGAGGGTCAGAGCCTCCCCACACCTGTTTGATATTGATCATCATAGAATCATAAAGTTGGAAGGGACACTGAGGGTCATCTAGTCCAACCCCCTGCAAGGCAGTTGTCCCTTATGGGGATTGAACCTGCAACCTTGGCATTATCCGCGCCACTCGCTAGGTATTTATTTATACACTGCCTTTCCCCCAGACTGGGACTCAAGGTGGCTTACGCAAATTAAAGACAACACGGCTAAAAAACGAAAAAGCTACAGACATATAAAAGATCATCATCAAAGCGTAATAATAAAATTAAAGCAATATATTAAAAAAACAACCCAAATCTTATTAATATGTGGGCAGTGAAAACGGCACAGCACTGTTAAAAGCACATTCACGAGTCCTAGTGGAATAAAACAAGCATTTGCTTGCTGGCAGGGAGACAGCAAGGAGGGAGCCAGTCTAGCTTCCTGAGGAAAGGAGTTCCACAGTTTGGGGGCAGCCACTGAGAAGGCCCTGTCCTACGTCCTCACCATTTGGGACTGTGGGGGTGATGGAACTGAGAGATCTCAGAGCCCTGGCAGATCTGTACGAGAGGATACGATCTTTCAGATAGTCTGGGCCTAAGCCTGGTTGTGGGCACCGTGTCCCTCCTCCCCGAATCCATGCGATGAGAGCTCCCGGATTAGCAGAGCGCCGTGATCTTTCCGTGGCCGAGTACCGACTGTTCTTGGCAGAGGACCAGGAAGGGCCAAGAGGCCAGCCCAGGGAGGTGAACGGGCTGTTTGCTTTGGGCTGTTGACATTTCGTTGCGTCCCGGGTTTCGGCAACGCAGCAGGGAGAGGCGGAGGGGGTGCGGGCCGTGTTGCCCGCTCAGCGATAGATACACCCCCCAAAATGACCTTTCCCCCAAGATGCTAATCACTCCCCCCCCCCAGCCCAGCTGGGTTCCCAAAAGGAGATTAATTCAGCTCAAGTGCAACGGGAGGAGAGACAGCAAGAAAGGGCAAGGAACCCGCAGGCCTCCGACCGAGAGGAGAGGCCTGTCCACACTCTACATTTAAAGCAGTATCATACCACTTTAAGTAGGCATGGTTCTCCACCCCCCTGGCCGTCCCCGAAGAATCCGGAGAGCTGTCATTTGGTTAAGGGAGTTGTTAGGATCCTTCCATTCCCTTCACAGAGCGGCAATTGCATGCTGGAAGGGTCAGGACAAATGGAAGTGCAACCCATTGTTAAACTGTGGAACTCACTCCCACAAGGATGCTGGGACGGCCACCAAATTGGATGGCTTCAAAAAGGAAGATGAAGAACAGGTTCTGCTTACCAAACAATGATTCCCCAAAACGGTCCATAGATGATTGACTGATTGATTGATTGATTGATTGATTGATAGATTATCTATCTGGTGACTGGGAGCGGCTGCCGAGACCACATAACACCGTTCTTGAAAGACCTACACTGGCTCCCAGTACGTTTCCGAGCACAATTCAAAGTGTTGGTGTTGACCTTTAAAGCCCTAAACGGCCTCGGTCCAGTATACCTGAAGGAGCGTCTCCACCCCCATCGATCTGCCCAGATGCTGAGGTCCAGCGCTGAGGGCCTTCTGGCGGTTCCCTCGCTGTGAGAAGCGAAGCTACAGGGAACCAGGCAGAGGGCCTTCTCGGCAGTGGCGCCTGCCCTGTGGAACGCCCTCCCACCAGATGTCAAAGAGATAAACAACTACCTGACATTTAGAAGACATCTGAAGGCAGCCCTGTGCAGGGAAGCTTTTAATGTTTAATAGGTTATTGTATTTTTAATCTTTGTTGGAAGCTGCCCAGAGTGGCTGGGGAGACCCAGCCAGATGGGCGGGGTACAAATTATTATTATTATTATTATTATTATTATTATTATTATTATTATTATTATTATTCCAGGCCGCTCTTTCTCTCACATAACTGCCTTTAGTGATTCAGTCACATATGGCAACAACAACAACAACATGAGACAATATTTCAGGTATCCTTGTTCCGAGTTTCATAGGGCTTTATCTGCCAAGACTGGCACCTACTGTAGAACTTACCTCGATAGCTGATTGGCAGCTGCTGCAATTCTTCCAGCGATAGTCTGTTGTTTGTTAATGGGCTGGGAAGTGTAGCTCTGTGCAGAGTAAACTTTG